GAAAGATATCTATGTGTGTGTGTATACTAATAATAATTAATATAATGATATTTCTGTAGTTGGAAAGATATTCTCTTGAAAAGAGTGCAACTTTGCTTATCGCGTTCTTTCCTTGTAATCTTGTTACGCTAATCCTGGCCAACGATACGAGTACGTTCGTTTCACGTGGATCAATTCAACATGCATTCTAAACACACGGTTAGAAAACAGCGTTACATCCAAGTCAATTGCGTTCCGAGATCGTCGACTGGCTCAAGAAGTACACAAAAGTTTCCCTCCAAGTTTCCCGATCGATCTCGATTCGAAGCGTTTTCCATTCGCACGTCGCAACGTTAGAGCGGGGCAAGGTTTCACGATTATTATTCCCGTCGTTCACGGAAACAAGGTGTAAGAACTAAAGACGAATTGAAGAAACCCGACAACGCCGCCGCGGGGGGATCGAGATCACGCCGGCGAGCAAGAAAACTCGATCGATTTTCGAGGGAACTCCGCAGTCGCGGCGGCTTTTCCTCGATCTCGCGAAATTTATTCCCTCTGAAGTTCGTGTCGCGCGAACGAGTTGGACGAGATGTACGATCCCCCGATAACGGTGAAAAAAAAAAGAAAAAGAAAAGAAAAAAGAAACAACTAGTCGCCGCTAGTTTCGTTTCACGGCGGCATGATCGTTAGAACGAAGGTTCAGATCGTGATCGAACGGAGAGAGAACAACTGCAACGAGGATTTTCTAGAATATTCGCGAATTCGTACTCGTTCGGATGCCACGGGGCAGATCGCTGGAATTCTCTCTCTCTCTCTCCGTTCTTGCCGATCAAGCGCAAAGAAACGCAAAACAACGTTTGAGCCGTGTTCACAGCTGAAGTGGTGGCGGCGGATCGTCGCGGAGGCGAGCTCGTTCCGAGTTATTTCGGGTCCTGGTCTTATCTGGCCGCCTCCCGCCGGAGAAGTTTGCTCTCTCGGAAGAAAAGCAATTAGCTTAGACGAGCCGTTTTGATCGACGCAACCGTTCCATTGCCCGTTGTGCAAGATCGCAGATACACGTCACGATGACGAATGCTCGAAAAGCTGGCGAGACAGTTGCTCGCTACCAACTCTGATAAATCGAGTCCGAGTTTCCAGCAACTTGGAAATGTTTTACCCTCTGTTATCTTTCGTTCACGAGATTGTCGTTTTCATTAGATTTACAAAATTATATTTATCATTAATTGTGTATATTTATATATTACACAGTTAGTATAATTGTATTTACTGTATCTATATTTATTGTTTTATTTCATTTGATTCATTGTATTTCCAAAATTATGTAAATTTATTATATTATTTTATAATTCTTTACATTTACTATTATGTTTTACTATATTTATATATTATTTGGTTAGTATATTAATTATATTGTTATATTAGTGGGTATAATTGTTTACTATATCCAACACACTTCATCACATTTATAGATATTATA